GGCCCTGAGCAACTTTCTGTTTACCTTTACCAACTGGGGTATCATAAGGCTTACCACGATTCTGTTGGTGCTTATCCCTCTTCTCACTGATAATCTTGTAATGAGCATTATTATCCTCCTCATAAATCCTGTAACTGTCAATCAAATCAGCAAAGACACAAATCTTCTGGTATCCAACTGCCTTCTTGATCTCCGGGAGCAATCCGTTCTCAAACTTGATACACTTCGAAAACTTAGCATCTACCTCAGCATAGTGCGGATAAAACTTAGCCAACTCAGCAAACTTGGCCGCATACTCAACAACTGATACGCTCCCTTGCTTCAACTCAAGGAACTCAATCTCCTTCTTACCATATACATCTTCAGGAAAGTACTTCTTCAGAAATTCCCTACGGAACACAACCCAAGTGACATTCTCACATGCAGCTTCCAATCTCTGACAAGTCTCTAGCCACCAGTCATCAGCCTCGAGTGCCAGCATATGAGTACCATACCGAACCTTCTACGCTGGAGTGCAGTCCATCACACGGAAGATTCTCTCAATCTCTTTCAACCACTCCAATGCTCTGTTAGGATCATACTTTCCCTTGAACGTAGGCGGATTCTCTCTCTGGAAAGTCGCCAAGCTACGAGATCCAGCATTTCCATCAGCATTCAGCTGATTCTCCATCGCATGAGCCATTGCTTCTAAAGCAACAGCAAGTGCATCATAATTCTTTCCAACTATCTCAACTTATCACTACAACATAAACAACTGTTAGAACTCAAATTAACAATACTCGATTGTTAGACAACTACGACTCGACGACAAGGTCAGACCAACCTTTTGTTCTGATACCAACTCTGTAACACCCCAATTCTACCCCGCAATTATATAATTAAATCAGAGTCATAAAATTCATTCATGCAAACGAATCGGGATGCCACAAATTCTTCATTAAAAACTCACTGCATTCATCATGGATACATAATACTTTAAAACTTCGGATGAACCATCAACATAAATACTTTAATTAAATAATTCAACAATTTAACATCTACGCAACGGAATTCTTAATAACATCTTTAGCATCGTTACAAAAACTTCAAAACAACACATATTTAATGAATAATAAACTTATTGTTCAACAACTGAATAATCAACAATCAAAAGCAATAAGCGTCCATCCCCGCGAGTGTTACATATCAGAGCAATGATATCGACTCGAACTATTGAAGGTATACAACCTTCACTCTCGATTACCTGCATGTTACCAACATAAGGGTAACATTCAAACAGAAAGGGGTGAGATATCTAACAATATAATAAAGCGTATGATAATTAACACATTGAATTAGATCACATAACATCACCACTTCTCATCTTATAATCAACAATAATCGCATTAATGATACACATTCACAACATCAATACATAACCTCTTTATGCAATCATATAATGCGACTCAGTACAATGCAAATGCATGTGGTATCATTGGAGCAGAACTCCCATCTTAAAAATCTGCCAATAAGTAGAGGCATCAACAAGGCATAAGCCTTCATCTTAATATTCGCCAATACATGCCATCTTAACGAGCATAAGCTCCATCTTGAAATGCAATGTGTGCGACTCAATCATGAATGTAATGACAACACCACAATTGACAACATCTCAACACAAACATCATCGTTGGCCAGAAGCCTACATCTTAAAAGCTGCCAATTATTAAAGGCATCTCAACATCTTTCATCAACATCGTTCATCAACATCATAATTCATCAAACATCATATATACATACAACATATATTTCGCAGCAATTCGTCAATCTCGCAGCGTTGGCCATAAACCTACAACATGATTTGCCTATAACCAGTTAATCAACTAAGGCTTACTTATAAATTACCAACCCTCTGCATATTACCGTTCTGTAATACTACATCATTAGCATCATTAATTCTACTGTTACAATTAGACAGTAAACTATAAACGTTTCATCCTCCTCATCCTTCACAAAAACAAACATAATGGTCAACGCGGTAACTAATTCGAATCCTACTTTGGGTACCAGGATTATCCTTCCTATTCTTCATATTAATCCTTACGATTGAAGTTCATCGCGTTAGCTATTCCACGCTTCGACCGACACCTCAAACAGAGTCCGAAAACTCAAGTTACAACCTTCTCAAACTGATTCTGCCAAAAACTAGACCAAATGGATCGATGCATAACGCCTTGGGTCGACGCATACTGAACTGAATACACTACATGAGTCGACGCATCCTCTCTTATATCGACTCATACTGAGTCTGCAACACTGCATGTATCGACACATGCTCCTACGTATCGACTCATCCTGAGTCTAAAAGCACTCATGTATCGATACATGACTCCTTCGGGTCGACTCATCTTGAGTCTAAAGACATTCTTGTATCGACACATACCATTTGGGGTCGATGCATACTACTATGCTAAGGATATTTTATGCGATTTTCTCTACGTTGTCACTACGAGTTCCATACTTTAGGCCCTAAAAACATCTTTTAATCATAGATAATCATCAATTATAATTATCATATAATTCTACATCATTTATACAGCATTGGGACATCGTTATTCATCCATAATTCATCGATTCACATCATACAACATCATATATAATTCAATCATGAAATCAAACAATGTTTCACCTCTAACCCCACATACCAATTATCATAAACCCTATTATAGAGTCAGAACCCCACCCTTACCTTGAATTGAAGGTCGCTCTATAACTTCCGGTTGAATTTTCTATTCTGCCTCTTTTCCTCTTTTCCAACAGCTTCACGTTCTTCTTTCCAACCCTTATTCTTCTTACTGCTTCTTCTTTCTTGTTATTTCTAACAATAATAGAATAACCCTATTATTCTCTTTATACCTTAATGGGCTTAAAACTAATACACCCCCTTTTTACTACTTCCATTCCTTTAAAACAAGCCCACATTAAATAATATCATCCTTCTAATATTATTTCACCACTTAATAGAATAATTAAATCCAACTAATCACCACACATCTTCACAAATATTCGAAAAACAATTTAATTAAATTACGGACGTTACAACGAGCATATAAAAGCTATATTCACTTCTTAAGGGAGAAGATAAATCGGATAAATTCGAAGTAAAACATTGCTAAAGTGAAGCACAGTTAGCCGACATTTTCACTAAAGGGTTAAAGATCGACAAATTCCTGAATTTGAGAAAGAAATTAGGAATAGTTCAGATCGACTATGATTAGCGTAGGTTCAACAACGTGGATTATAATGGGGTATATTGAGATATAAGATATAATCCAAGTTGAGTGATTCAAGCCCAAGCCCAATTAGAGTTTATTAGTCTACTTAGTGTACAAGGTAATTGTATATAAATAGACATAGTTTATAATTCAACTTGTATAATTCAATTCAACAATATAATCCTTATTTCCTTATTATTTCTTTCGCCCCTCATTAAAAGTGTCTCGCACACTAACAATAACTACAAATAATCAAGCTATCTTCAAAGTAGAGCAATTTTAGTTTCAATTATTGAAGTGGTTGATGATATCAATGATTATATCACAAAACTGATTCCAGGTAGTTAGTTTCACTATTAATATATCAAATAAATCATTGATTTATTTGTATATTTTTGGAAAGTCATACTAATTATTGATTTTCTATTGAAGGAGAAGAAAAGAAATATATAAGTAGTGATTCAATCAATATGTGTGAATCTATTGACTTTGATGCATTTGAACACTCAACTCCTGAATTCTTGAATTCTCTTAAAACACTAGATTTGCCAAATAATTCCATCAGATTGAAAATTGACACAACTATTATGTTGTTGCGTGTCTTAGATCAATCAGAAGGATTATGCAATGGTACAAGACTCAGTGTCACCAAGCTTACAAATATACAAATATAATGTAATAATACCATCACTGTCCCATATTATAAGAGAAATTCAGTTTTTAAATTTATTGAATAATTAATATATATATATATATATATATATATATATATATATATATATATATATATATATATATATATATATATATATATATATATATATATATATATATATATATATATATATATATATATATATATATATATATATATATATATATATATATATATATATATATATTAATTTTTTTTCTTAGAAAATTGGAGAATTGTATGGTCTAACTTGCATGACAAAAACAATGTTTGGATGAAGTACCTGTCCAAATTCAACTGCACACTAATTCAAAATGTTGTCAAATTCACACTACATTAAAATGTTGAATTTATACACATATTTTTTTTTTGCTTGATTTCATTACTTTTTTTAATTAATATAGTACTAAATTTCACCACATCTTTGATATGTCTACATGACTATAAGAATCTCATTAATAATTAATTGATTGAATTGTAAAATATTAGTGAATTGAATTGAAATATGACACAATTAAATATTTCATTTGGAATGTATATGTGGATTTAAATATATTTTATAACTAAATTAATTTAGCCGAAGTATATTACTAGTTAATTGTAGTAAAAATTACCGTTAAAAACTATTAACCGGTACTTCAATTGATTTTTGACTTTTCAATTCAACAACAATATGTATCTAAGGCAACTCCCCCAAAAAAAACCTAATAAAAATTTAAATTAAATTTAAATAAAGTTTAAACAAAAAATATTATAAAAATAAGATAAATACATTAAATTAATATAATAAAAGTAAAAACCGGACATAAGATCCTGCTCGCTATTAACAAAAACTTGACTTAGATATTTATAGAAAAAAATAAAAAGAAATATAGATCGCAATTTTTACCTTCAAAATTTAACCGGATACGTTTCATCTCCCATGTTCGGTTAGGTATATAAATTAACGCGCCCCTTAAATCCTGCTTCTTTTATTCTGTTTCTCTAAAACCCAAACCTCACACTCTTGGCGGCTACACCACACCTTTCTTCTTCACTCTCTCAATTAGATCATGGCAGCTGTTGCTCCGTCCTCTGACAGTATCCTTCTTTCTCACTTTCTCATCTCCGTTTTTCTTCTCGTTTTCGATAATTAACTAATAACCATTAGGTTTTTTTCTTCTGCATCCAATTTCTGTTGTAAGCACGTGTAGTCTCTTTCTTAGGGTTTTGTTATTTTTTTGCTTGCTTTTACTATTTGTACTTCATATCTGAAACCCTATGGTTATTAATATATGCATATGGTTTATTGCTGTTTCTCTCGGTGGATTTTATTTTTGATGTATAGTTGTTTAATTTTTCTTATTTTTATTTATTTATTTTTTCTGTTTACGTATGCATTTTTCATTGTTTGTGAAATTTTATTCCTTGACCTAACTGCTACAGAAGCTGCAAGCTTATTGCAGAATTTGTCCCTGGATTCACAGCCAAAGACTATTATTAATGGAGATGCTGAGTCCGTGAAGAAGGTAAATCCTCATCTGATTGCTGCGGCATATGTTTTTTTGTTTGTTGTTGTGTTGTGTTCGCTGATCTTTGTTATCATTTGTATGCAGAATGGACCTAGTTTTGCCGTTAGTAACACTAAGGGGGCAGGCAAGCCATTCAATCCGAATCCAAGTTTTGCTCCAAATGGATACCCTTCTACTGCATATTATTATGGAGGTAAGGTAAGCTGTGTAAGATTGTAAGGATATGCACAAACACACAGGCTGATGATCCAAAAAAAATGCAAAGATTGCTGATTTAATATTTGAACTAATTGTTTTAGCTTCGGAAAAATGACCTGGTCATGTCATTTTTTTTCCAGGTTATGATGGACAAGGAGATTGGAGTGGCTATTCCAATTATGCGAACCTTGATGGAGGGATGGCTCAAGTAAGTACTATGTTCTCTGATTTCAATGCTTGTGAGTTGTGATGAATGTATGTCTTCTTGTATTTTTGCCACAGGTTCTGCCTGTGGCTGCTTTGTTATATGTTAGCTACAACATTGAAGGATTGTAGACTGGTGCTTGCTGCATCCTAAGTTGTTTTGAATATTTTTCGAGACATATGGACTGTTTTATCCCTCTATGTTGGTAGACTCGTGTGGCTATTTGAATTTAAAATTATTATGAAGTATTTTGCAAATGCTTCTCTTCTCTAATGTTTTAGTGGTAGTTAATCTAGTTATAGTTTGATCCTGTTTCTGTTCTACTAAGTTATGATTGTTTCTTATCCATTTTTGTTCGTTGAAATATCATTTTTTAGTGAGATGCCTTTAACCACTTAATAAATGTTTTTCTTGCTGGATCTATTTACAGGGTGTTTATGGTGATAACTGCTCTTATTTGTATCAAGGTTATGGATATGCACCATATGGAGCATATGCTTCACCCAATTCCTCCTCTCCAATGGTTCAACATGATGGTCAGCTGTATGGGCTCCAACAGTATCAGTATCCTTGTTCTTATTACAACTCTGCAAATTCTGCTGATGTGTTTGCTCCGAATAAAACCGGTGTTGCACAACGGGAAATGTCAAGTGCAGTTAATGGGGACCGTGTTCCTTCAAATGTTATGAATAATGGAAACTCTGTTAGCATGGTCAATGGTGACTGTACAAACCAAAATGGGTTGAAGTCATTTATTACCAGTTCCCAGCACTCATCTTTGAAAACAAGGGATTCTTATCATGGGTCTAGTTTGCCAGCTTGTGCTCCATTGTCAGGATATCAGGGTCAAAGATTGGGTACTCATGGTACACAGTCGGCAATCCCTACAGATCTGTCATTGGTTTCTGATCGACAGACCAAACATGGAGGAAAGGTTGGATTATCTTCACAAGTTATGCCTGTCAAAGATTTCTCATCTCAAAGAAATCAAAGACACACTCCGCCACTTCCACAATTCATGGTATGCCATATTTGTCATCCTTTTCCCAAAGTGTATTTGACTTTATTTTTTTTAGAGCGCTCCAACATCATCAAAACCTCAAATCTTATATGCTTTGGGGTCTTAATTAATAACATCCAATCTAATCGGTTATGTGTTTATCGAACAATTTTTCTTTTATATCATTGCTGCATCTATTATTGACATCAGTATAGCTCTTGTGACTTGTGATGCATGTTTAAATCAATTAAATTCAAACATAAATTCTTTGTTGCAGAACTTGAATGGTTCCAGGTATCCATCTGGAATGGAACTAGTTCCTGGATTCATGAACAGCATGTATCCAAGCAACAGTATGTTCAGCCAATATGGAAACACTTTCAGAGCTAATTCTAGCTTTGGCTCTTCTGCATATGGATCTAGAACTGGCTCTTATGATTACAAGTTTAGAGCCACATGTAATGGCTATGTTGCTAATGATTCCAGAAGGAATGTGGACGGTTTCAGTGAGCTAAATAAGGGACCAAGAGCTGCGAAGATTTCTGATAATAAAGGCGTAAAAAGTCTTGCTCCTGTCACATTATTACTTAAAGGACAGAACCTTCCAGTGAAGAGTGATAACAAAGAAGTGCCTCAGGTGGTTCCGAATAAAGAACAATACAATGGAGAAGATTTGTCTGAGAATTATTCTGATGCAAAATTTTATGTCATCAAATCCTACAGCGAGGATGATGTTCATAAGAGCATAAAATATAATGTTTGGGCAAGCACTCCCAACGGCAACAAAAAGCTGGATGCAACATATCAAGAAGCCAAGGAGAAGCCCGGTGGCTGTCCCATATTTTTGTTATTTTCGGTGAGTGTCATAAGCAGCATTCACTCTGTAAACTCCCAGATTATATTTTGTTTTGTTAAACTGTATGTTTTCCCTTATTCATTTTTTCCATACAGGTCAATACTAGCGGTCAATTTGTTGGTTTAGCTGAGATGACTGGTCCAGTTGATTTCGATAAATCTGTAGAGTATTGGCAGCAGGATAGGTGGACTGGTTGCTTTAATGTGAAGTGGCATATCATTAAGGATATCCCAAATGGTGTGTTAAGGCACATAACACTTGAAAACAATGAAGGCAAACCTGTAACTAATAGCAGGGATACTCAAGAGGTATTTTAGTTAGTTACTTGTTTCATTTAACTTCATGAACAAATACTCTGTTTCGGCTAGATGCTTATATATTCATTTCTGCAGGTTAAGTTTGATAAGGGCATTCAAATTGTAAAAATTTTCAAGGAACATTCAAGCAAAACAAGCATATTGGATGATTTTGGGTTTTATGAGTCTCGTGAAAAGACCACTCAGGAGAGGAAGTATAAGGAACAGCAGTTACCAAAACCTGTCAACAATGCCGGTGAGATAACATTTGGCTCGGTTGCATTACCCAAATCTCTTGATACAACTTTGATAAATGAATCAGCTACTGCAGATGCAGCACAAGGAAAGGTGAATTCTGAGGTACTGATAGAAAGGAATCGGTCCTCCCCAGCATTTGAAGATTCTTCTAAGAGCAGTTAAATTAGTGATAGTTATTTGCTGATATTTGTTTTTGTTTAATTTGTGTTTTCTTTGTTTTCTGGTTCTTTTTGTTTTCTTTCAATTTCATTAGTCATGGAAAAGTTGTGGTGTTTGAGTTTTAATTTATGCTTATTGGACCTTGGTATGGAGTGTAGTAACTCATTTTAATATTTTCCTTATCTCCTTTAATTTAATAATATAAAATGTGGCTGTTTTAGTTCTCAATTTCCTACAACGATTTTTTTTGCAAAAGTTAATAAGCACTCCCTCTGTTCTTTATTATATATTATAAGAGATATTTCACTTTTTTAGATTAAGACCGAGGAGTATCTGATATAAAGACCAGAGGGAGTATCTGCTATAATGATATTTAGAAGTTAATTAAATTTTGGTAAATTTTTTTTTAATTTTTTTAGCATAAAATAGATATTAATATAAATTCAGAGTGTTTGGATAAAAAAATTTAATGAAGAAAAGTAATTTAAGAGGTATTTTGTCGAGACACTAAATTTAAAATTCATTTTTTATTATGTCAAATTAATTATTATTGATCTTCTAAAATTTAAAAGTTGTTCTTATTATTTTAAAATTTCAAATTGACCCTTATTAATCTTAATAAAATAAAAAATTTGTAAATCAGTTCTTCTAAATTTTTAAAAATTGCAAATTTGTTTTACTTTTAATTTTTAAATTTGACCAAAGCTGATTTATGACTTTTTTTTAATAAGAAATGATATTTTATCTAAACAAAATAATTTAAAAATAAATGGAATCCAATTGAATTATGTAAGATCGTTTAAATTTTTAATTTTTTCTCAAATTTTGGTGGTCATATTGTTTTAAAAGAGAAAAATAAATAGGGTTAGTTGGAAGAAACTGTTTGGAGAAGGTGTACAGGTAGGTTAATGGTTTGAGTATTTGAAATTTGAGAGCATTCAATGTTGTCATGTTGAGTAAATGAATGTGGAAGGTTAAAATAGAAAAGTCAGAATTGGTGGAAGGATATTTTAATTAATTAGTAGTAAGTAGTTGGTCTCAAATAGAGACAAAGGAGTGTTAAGTGAAAAAGACATACAAGAGATTTTTTTTCAAATGATCACATTTTTCAATTTTTTTTTAAATAAATCATATTTTTAAAAATTTATCAAATTAATTATTTTTCAAATAAAAAAATTCGTCACATAGAAAAGTAGTCACTCTGTGTGACGCATGCATGCTATTTAGAGAGGAGGCGCCACACTGTATGACTTGTCCTCTTCTGTAAAGCTATGCAGTGTAGCACATACATGTATGTTTAGAAAGGAGGCGCGTGGCTTGGCAGTGTTATATGGTTTTCTATAAATACAATCACCCATCCTCGTTATTTTTTCACACCATTTGTCACATAACTCTTAAAAAATGTCTTCAACTCCTTTGCCAAGGTTTTCACCGATCAAAAGAGATGCACATGTTATTTTTTCAGCGACAAAGTCTCTGGTGAAGATCAAACTCCAGAACACGCAGACGTTCGAGCATTTTCAGAGGCACTTGACTCGCTGGTTGGAAGGAGACATTTCTGAAGGTGAACAGATCAGAAAAATAGAAAGGTAAATTACAGTGAGGAATGAAAATGGAGTAAGCCGATCATGGAAAGAGGTGAGATGCGGCGCTGATGTCATGATGATGATGCTTGGACCAGACGATATTGTGTTGATGGTTTTTATCTCTTAGATATTATGATTTGTTTAGTTGTTTTATCCGTTTATCATGTTGTTGTGTTGTTGTCCCGAGTTTGTGGTGTTGTAATTTTTTGTGTCATTATGTGAAGGTTGTTGTAATCGAATGGTAAATTGAACACGAAATAATAACCCGAATTTAAATTGAAATATATTGCGTACAACAAATTAATCACTCAGGAAAATTTGCTATAAAAAAGTTAGGTTGCAGAGCTAGACCCAATATTCGAACAATTTTTTCGATTGTGTTCGGGAAGACGACATGTACTGCATAATCTTATCATTTTGTTGACCGTATCCATTTCAGTTCTAATACGAGTGTTTTTCGGGCATCCCTTTTTCTTCTGTCACATTTGTTTATTGTGTCAAACAATGTCCCCTTGATAAGAAGGCCAATAATCCTCTTTTGTCAACACGGAGAAGGTATTGATGTACACTTAAAACACTCTTTACTGTGTCCACGAGAGATATATGTTGTATTGGGTTCAATAGAACATGCGAACGTGCCGCTATGACACGAGAGCAAGGCATGCGAAATACTTGAAACTTTCTGCAATCACACCAACCTCTATCTAGTTCGACCCGATAATATCTCCTTGGCCTCCCCTCATTATGATCCCCCAAGCCAAAGAAGATGACGCCTCCTCTCTAAGCATACATACATACGCCGCACTGCATGACTTTACAGAGGAGGACAAGCCATGCAGTGTGGCGTCTCCTCTCTAAAAAGCATGCATGCGCCACACATAGTGGCTACTCCTCTGTGTGGCGATTTTTTTTTGTTTGAAAAGTGGTTAGTTTGGTAAATTTTTTGAGAATATGGTTTATTTGAGATTTTTTTTTAAAAATGTGGTTATTTTAAAAAAAATCTATACAAAAGGCTAATGTCAGAGTCTTAAAACCATTGCATGATTTCTTGGTCTAAGGTGTGAGACAAAGGCGATTCCGTCAAAGTGCTGGAGATGGTGTGGAGAATGTATTAGAACATAATTCCAACTAAAGACAATTTTATTAGAAGGAGAGTGATTGATCAGGGCGTAAGTAGGTGTGTTGGAGAGTGTGATAGCGAAGAGTCAGTATCACATTTTCTTTTAGTGTTTAATTTTTTGCATGTTGTGGAGTTGCATTTGTCAATTGCTTAGAGTGGTAACTCTTTTGAAGAATGATGGTTGACAATATTTAGTGCAATCTAATGGGCTGTTAGGAAGAGGGAGTCAAACATCTTCAAAGCTTGTGGTGATATGGTTTGCTTGCATATAGACAATTTGGAAGGCTAGGAACAATTTTTTTTCAAAACTAGGAAATTATTGTCGAAGAGGCAAAAATTTAATCTTGAAAATGGCTCTATTTCAAATCAACTAAGATTGAAGATAGTATTGCTTAATGGTTCTCGTATTCTAGGTTGTGTCTCGGTATATGCGAACCTGGTAGTTAGCCATTTTTATATTTGGAATGCGACGTTGTTGTGTTAGTAGTATGGTATAGCGGTTGTGATAACATTTTGTTCCTTTTTCTGTTTGTCTGGTTTGAGTTCAATTTTTAGTTTTATTTTGGCTTGGCAGGGGTTGATTGTGTTTGTCGTGAATCAATGTATGTTAAATCATCTCAAATATTTCAAAAATTTATGAGGAAAAATATATGTTATTTTTCAGTTACTTAGGACTAATCGAAATGCCTACAATTAAATCAATAAATATATAAATGTATCTATTTTGTAAATACGAGAAAAGTACACTGCTAATTAAAATACAAAGAGAAATGTGTATTTCTTAAAAATGGGTTAGTAAAATATTTTCACAATAATTTGTAAAGGTTGACAAATGATCATGTCTGTCACATTTAAGTACACCCAACAAAAGTTCGAAAAAAAATAAAATTTAGCACGACTAATATAGTAGAGGATGCAAGTCTAAAATCTTTGTCTGCTCCACGAAAAAATGAGTTAGGACGAGACTGACCCGACGAACATGACTAGTTAAAGCCTACAACATGAAAAAATTTATGCCTGCTTCGTTAATGCCCGCACACAAAAGTAATAGAGCGAGATAGATATAATAGGAGACGTGAGTCTCAAACATGGACTCACCCTACGAAATATGCAAGCAAAGCAGACATGTCCGACAGGCTGAACCTGTTTTGCCACCTGTAACAATTTGTGCCACCAACAATATATATATATATATATATATATATATATATATATATATATATATATATATATATATATATATATATATATATATATATATATATATATATATATATATATATATATATATATATATATATATATATATATATATATATATATATATATATATATATATATATATATTGCATCAATAATGTAGTTTATTCTCTTATTTGGTGTTCTTGTTCATGACTAAACAACAACATCAAACAAAATTTTATTATGTGTACTTTTGAGCAAGTTGTTGAGCAATCTCCAAATCTCTTTGCTTATTGTCATTAAGTATCTTAATAATTTTTAAGCTTTTAAATTTTAATACATTTTAACTATAGTTCTATCTATCAATTATAAATATGTTGGCTCCGAAATATTATCTATCCATCTACACTTCTGAATTACTAATCCTCATCATATTAAGCTACTCGTGCGAATGTTAGGTTCAAACATAGAAATATTATTTTCAAACACTATTTTCTATTTTATTTTTTGTCTACATACGTATTGTATTTCTTAGAAACCACACTTTCATTATCCTTCGCAATTCATATATTATATTTTTCATTCATGTATATTGAAGGCTTAAATGTACTTTTGGTCTTTCTAGTTTGGACTTTTTAAACAACTGATCCCTCTATTACAAAACTAACGATTATTGTTCCTCAATTTAACATGCCTCTGAATTTACACGGCCCCATTCATTTTAGATGATGTGTCATGTTTTTTAATAAAATGGCATTATTTTAGTTAATCTATGTCATCAATTGAGTTTATTTTATTAATAACTTGAATATTTTAATTTACATAATTCTAAAATGATATTTTAATTAATTAAAACATTATTTTAATTGGATTAAAACTATTAACATTTCAGCTTAGTTTATAAAGAAGTATAATCTCATTTTATGCTTTCTAGTGCCCTAATTTTCGTACTCATTCACCTTCACGTTCAAGTTCACCTTCAAGTTCAAGTTCACCTTCATCTGTACAAATCGAGATTGTGCTTCAATAAAGATGACAAATGCAGAACATCAAAAGACGAGAAACAAAGAGGTCAACTATTGTGTGAGGTATGTTCATTTGTCCCTTTTGCTATT